CATGCATATGTAATAAATGGCGGCTTTTTCTTATATGTGAATAAACTGAATAAAAATGCGAACAAACATACATAAATAAGAATTGCTCATTTACGCATCTACCCCGTGGCGAATTATTTCAACGCGCTGCGACGATGACGACGACGACAACAACAAGCAATAGCTGGCGGTTAAAAAAGTACACAAAAAATATATACATATATATATATATATATATATACATATTAAGGGCAGGACCAAAAACATGTGCAACGTGGTCGATACGGAAACGCCGCTGCAGGCCGAAGAGCATGAAAATAAAATTAAAATGCAAAACGTATCTGTGAGATACATGCCCATATCCACACACATGCAACCATATATACATATGAATGTAATATGAGCGTGAGTGCGAGTGCAAGAGTAAATGCCAGTGTATGTGTGTGTGTGTGTGCGTCGCGCATTTCATTCGCTCGCAACGCGACGAAGCGGAAAAAATAAAGCGAATAAAATATAAAAATGGAAACAACAAAACAGAAACTGAAACCGAAACGGGCAACAAAACATAATGGCGTTTTCGCTGTGCCGGTTGCCCGCTGGCTGGACGAGCAAGCGAGCGAGCCCACTGACCGACCCCCTCCAACACACGAACAACAACAACAACCACCTACCCACTATTATATGGGCGCTGCACGCACGCCCAAGTTTTGTGTATATGTGTGTGACTGAAGGCAGACGAAAATTTCGCGTAAACAATAAAAATAATGTAAAAGGTACAACAACAAAAATGAAACCGGTTAAAAAAGCTACGGATAAAAGGGCCCAAAGACTGTTTCTGCCGGTGGTAACTCTTTGCCTCCTTCTAGTTTCGATTACAGGCGGCAATAATTAAAAAAAAACATGAATTGGTTTTATTACAGCCGGTGAGAGGCAGCCAAAAGCAACGGCTCACAACTATTACTTGCTTGCTGCGCCTGCTAGCCTGTCGATCGCAGCGAAAGCTTTTTGTATTTGATATTTGATACGAAAGCTGTCACGCTATTCTAAGCCATTAGCTATATTACTTCTTGATCAGTTCAAGGAGCGTAATGCGTATGCTATCTGTACTAGTTATACTAAGTATTTCAAAATCTTCTGTTTATTTAAATCAAGTTGGGTATTTTTTAGCCCATTTAATTATAAAGAGCAGTGCATTTACGTAGTGTTGAATTCGCCTGTTCTTTTCCAATTTCTCATTTGTTTGTTCGCTCATTTAATTTCGCCGCATTTACACGGGCCAGCAAGAGCTTTCGGTCAGGCGTCCGTTTTTGCGCGAGCAAAAAACAACAAGAAAAAAGTAAAGCCACGCCCTTTCGCAAGGCGTCGCGAGGCGAGACGCTGTATTTATTAGTGCTTTGATAATCAGCTTTTATATGTGCCAGCGAATGTGTGCGTGTATTCGCACTATAGGCGAATGTGTGTGCGTATGTTTCGTTTATTACACTTTATCGCGGCTCGTAAGCAGCTGCAGCTGCTGAGCGGCCGCCAGTGCTGGAAAAATCCAATTAACAATTTTATTAGCTATGGTTGAAAAATAATTCATAAATTCATTCTAAACAAAACTGTAATAATCATAATTTTTATGAGTTTTTTTTGTTGTTTTGCAATTGGGTGTGCCTGTGTGTGTGTGTGGTGTGAGAGGCTTTGGAATTTGTCGCCATTGCTTTTTATCGTTATTTCTTCTATTGCTTTGACATTTGCGTGTTTTTGCGAGGTTCTTTTTTATTTTTTTTAAATTAAATTATATTTATATATGTATGCACAGCGATGACGCGACATGAATGCAGCAAATGCATTTTCAAGATGGCGCCAACTACTCTGCTCTCCCACCTTCTCCTCCACCCCCAGCCATTCCCCAACAAATTTCATCTGCCATTGATTTTGAAAGCTTGCCCCAAAGGCGACATTTTACTTGCTCTACTCGGCGATCTCGAATACTTAATCAAATATCTTTACACACTCTCCATGTGGGTTATCGTTATGCAACAACAACAACAGCAACACAGCCACTTGCCTCGAGAGCCCAACAAAGAATTTAATACAAATCGTTGCCTGTCAGCGTACAAGAAGCCAAACAAATTATAACAGGTGCCGTTGCCGTTGCCTCTGCCGTCGCTGAGTGCATTAAGAGTCACACACACACACACACGCACACTGTTACACAAATGCCCCCAAGATATAGAATTGAGTCCGGCATGGAAGATATTATGGTTTTTGGTGGGGATTGTGGGGAACGCCGAATCGTCAGCTAATTTTCCATCGGATAAGAGGCTAGCAGGCAAGTGCTAAACTGTTGGGAATCTGTAAACCAAAACAACAGTTAACGTCACTGAGATTCAAACACACTCACACACACACACTCGCTCAGAGACAGCAGCCAGAGCAACAGCTCCCACAGTCAATGATTTAATGTGGGAACAGCAAATGGCGCTGATGTTGAACACGTGCGCGTTGCTCCGGACGCCGGACGCCGGACACCTCCCCCCACTCTCGCCCGCCCTCTCTCCTTTTGGAGTTCAAACAGAAAGTGTCGCACACAGAATGTGCTGCATGCCACTTGGCCACATTGCTTGATTTAATTTAAAAACGATTCAAAAATCAAGCCAACTTCAATGAATTTTAAACTGTGCGTTTAACCCAAGTAATTAAAGCTGTGTGCCTCAAATGACGACCGCAGAGATGTTGATGTTGATGTTGATGTCGATGCTGCAGCAGCAACGATGGGGCACGACTTCAACTCCGACTCGGACTCGCTTCATTTGAGAATTTATGACTTTTTGACAGCCCACATTATTCGTTAATCGTGACTTTTGGTCCAAAATCTGAGTCTCGTTTGCGCTCTGCCATTGCACAGCTTAACAGTTTTTCAATATGCCCTAGGATTTGATATTAAAAATCGGACGCGCGAATGACACCAGCATTAGGGGCCCTGCAAACCTCAGCTCAAACTGTTTAATTGAAAACACCCACATATATCATGGGCAGCCCTCGCAATGATCGAACTGTTCAATTAACAATTGAATTTTATGCAAAGAAGAACAAGACGAAGACGAAGAAGAAGAGAAGTAGAAGTTGGGTCGGATGAGCAAACTCGATGACTGGGAACAATGTTTGCACAAGGCTATCAAAAGGGGCAATTCGGAGGAGCCAAAAAGTCGAAGCTATTAAAAATTATGTAAATAGCCAAGTATCTGACTCAGTATGTGTGTATAAAGTCTGGCTCATTGTTGATCAACGCGGCACACTGTCTATCAACAATGAAATAAAAATGAAAGAAAAACAAAAGAGGCCTAACAAGAGTTTTATTGAAGAAGAGAGCAGCATACCTGTGCCTATGCACACACACAGACACACTCGGAGAGACGCACACACTCACTCTCACAGAGGCAATAAAACCCATTTAATATTCATTTAAGGTACTAACAAATAATGCAAATATTTAAACATTTTATTTACATATGAACGCCATCAAAGAGTTGAATTGAAAGAGATCTTTCAATTGAGGAAAGGTGAACGAGATACCCACTGGAGGGCCGCATAGCTACACCTAGGTCTAGCTGGGTTCATGCAGGCCTGGTCCAAACCAGCCACAGAAACAGATGAATCTATTTGTATTTATGAGCCTGTGTGTGTATGCACTTAGAGAGTGTGTGTGTGTGCGTGTATGTGTGTGTATAATAAATGCGTTGTATGACCATTTAGCATGTCACCTTTTAACGGCTTCATAGCAAACAAAACGAACACATCAACGGGTTAAAATGACAGAGAAAAAAACTGTAGACTCCGGCTGTCGCTGCTTCTTCGCCGTCTCTGCTTAATTTTGAATCAACAATTTAACATTATAATTACGTTTCGAATCATCTGCAAACAGACTCGCGGACCCGAAGAAATGCAGCAGTACAAAGCTTTTAGTCATTCCTGCCGAGCTTTAACATATTATAGCAAATATGTGTGGGAGAGAGATAGAGAGACAGATAGCTGTCAAACCGCCGACGGCAAAACAGCTAGAAAGCTTACTTTAATTTTTGTGAAATACAAAGCGTAGGCGTGTTGAGTTTATCTATATATGCATATTATAGAATCGATATGTATCATATAATATCGTTCTCTAAATTCCTCCTTGACTAACAAATTCTTAGAAAACATTAAATTTCACTTACATACAGTTAGTATACTCGAATAGACAACTTTATCTATTCTACCTAAATACAAAGACTAATTGTTATTACGCCGACTTTTGACGTGCCCCAAGTTTTTCAATTTTCCAGCTATTTGTCAACCGTAAAAACGAATTTGTCAACACTGACACAAGTAAAGCCTTTTAGTATATAGATTTCTACGTTAAAGCTTGAATTAAGAGTTTGAAAAATGTTAAGCAAATAATTGATTATTAAACAAAAATTGGGAACTATATGAAAGCAGTAAAAACCGTGTTGGGGGATATGATATAACAGCAATAATATAACAAATCTGCAAATTTTATAGAACTTTCTTAATGTATCAATATGAAATGAAAAAGTCTTTAATAATTTAAAAACAAGAAAAAATTAAGTATTTTTATATTACAAAATATCTAAAAAATTTAATAAATAGTTCTTACATAACAATATTTAGTGGAAGCCCTAACTATGCCTTTTTGGATATCAACCAAATCAGAAAATACATTTTAAAAAATATTAAAAGTAAAATAATTTAATAATTTAAAGATAAATATGACTAAAACTTTAGCTAAACTGTGAATGGATATGCACTATGGCACGATCTGTTATTCACACAACTGTTATACACAAAACAAATAGCAAATTAACTTCATATCGTTTAATTTAGATAAAACTGTTTGCTACGGCAATAAAATAACTGTTTTAAACTACATACATACACACATATACATATATTGCCATTATATTTTTATTTGCTATTCATATTTGCTTCGTTTGTCATTCTGCTTCCTTTGTTTTCTTTCTTTCATTCTTTTTGCTTACCAAATCGTCACCCAAATCGGAATCGCGTTCAATATTGTTATTTGAACGGCCGCTGCAATCCATAGTCGGATGCACTCGGAGTTGCATTAGTGCGAAGTTTGGTTTTTAGTGCGGGCTTCGAGTGAAACTTGAATTTGAATTTTGATAATTGCAAAGCGCAGATGGCAAATTGTTTCGGTTTATAGCGGAATCAATGCGCGAGCTTTTAACTTTCTACGTAATTTGCACAGCACACTTTCTTGTTGTTGTTATTATTATTATTATTGTTTCTCTTGCCCTCTCTTTCTCTCGTTCACTCTCTTTCTCGCCTCGTTGCTTGTTGGCCTGTTTTGCATTTGCTTTTGCTCCTGCGATTATATGATCGAATTACCGTTATCAAATATTCAAATTGTCGCCTCGCTTTGTGGTCTTCGCATTGTTGTTGTTGATTTCGGTTAATTCCGCTGAAGTTTTGCCAAAAGGGAATCGCTTGAAAAGCACCGTTAATTGAGCTCGCGTTATTTTTGTGGTTTCGCTTGTTTTTGGTTTTTTTTTTTAATTTTTGTTGAATTTCAAAATATCCAACTTGGCTTGAACTGCTGTTGAATGCGATTTCAATTAACACTAATTTTAATTATTTAAATGTTATCGTTCGCCTTAGTGCCAGCTCCTTTTTAAGCGATCACAATAAACACACACACACGCAACACCAAAACACATTTAGATTACATTGGAATAGTCGGCGCAACGTTGTTGTTGTTAGTGTTACCTGATGGGGCCTGATCGGTATGGAGATCGGCTCCTGTTGCTTATTAATTATCAATTTGTTCATTTATTTCACGTTTGATATCGCGCACAGTCCGCCGCTTTCGCCCGACGCACACGGAACTCCAATTGGGAATAAAAATGATTCTCTCCGCACATCAAAACGACGCGTCAAAAGACAACGCGAGGCACAAATACCTCTCTGTCTCTGTTTCTCTCTCTCTCGCTGTGCTATTCTCTTGCGCTGTCTTGCACATTGAAACGACTGACACATGGAACGGCTGAGAGGTGGCTGCGCTTGTGTGTGTGCCATTCCCATTCGTTTTCAATGCTGATGCGCTCTCTCTCGCCAGCTGGTCTGGCTGGCTGGCCAATCGGATTGTCGTTTCAGCTGTGCTCAGGTGGCATTCAATTAAATTTGTAATCGTAATCTATTCAGTACGAAACTCGTGTATGTGTACAATGCGCTCGCCGCTCATTCGTTCACTGCACACACACATGCCGCTCGCACTCGCAGACGTTTGTGTGTGTGTGTGTATCTATGTGTGTGGCTGTGTATAAGCTCTTAGTGGGGCTACACTACTGAGCATGTTTTTGGTGATTGAATCGAGTGTTGTTTGCCTACTTCGTAATGGCCCCATTTTGCATAACGCAAATCAATGCAAACATGTTGAACAGTGCCTAGGCAGTAAGTGTGTGTGTGTATGTGTGTGTCCATTTGTATGGTTTGTGTATCTTTCAATCATAAATGTGCCGCTTTTTTATACGCGATTTAATTTAAAATACGCCCTTTTCATACGGAGAGCCGTAGTTTCGTGGGGCGTTAACATTTGTGGCTTGCCTATGCCAAATGGCGTTTGATATGCAGCCCAAACGGGGAGCAAACAGTCGAGCAAATTACACACTTTCCACACCAGCGTCGGGAAAATACCAAAAACCAAATACCAAATACCAAATACAAGCACGAACTTGATTAATGATTTGCGAGATAAATTACACTTGTAATGGCCCACAAAAAGTAGGTAGGTCGGCAGTTAGGTAGTTTGGTAGGTGGACTGAATGGTTGGCTATATAGATAGATATATATAGAATGCCATTTACCGTTACATTTGCCAGCAGCCCACGCAAATAATTGCAGTTGCTCTTCGATTTTCACTAATTTGAAATTGATGAAAGCAGCGCGGCAGCAGCGCAGCAGCAGAGAGTATATCAATTTTCGCCGGCCTGTCTGTTGAAGCGAACATATTTAGTATATGTGGAGTGTATGTCTGTGTCTGTGTGTAGTTCGCACGCATTGGTATTTCGTAGGGAGCGCAGGCGCTCATCAAACACCACCAGGAACCCAGCACACCCAGCCGTAGCCGCAGCCGCAGCCGCAGCCGCAGCCACTGTGCAGGATAGGGGGTGGTGGCTGGGGGTGTTCGCCAACCCCCAAGCGCCAATGACGAGGCGGCAGCGCCTCACAGACTTGACTGATGATGAAGTGAGAAAGTAATTAAATACAATTTTAAATGTGACTAATGAGACGCCGTCAAATTCGTGGCGCAAATGAGTTGGGCCAAGGGGGTGGAGGGAGAGGCGGCAGCGGGGCTAGTTGGGGGTTGGAGGCGCCTGCTCTTACCATCGTCTGCGAGTGGAACGCATTTATCAATATTCAATAAATAGAACGGCATTTTCGCACGCACACAACGACAGATCCGCAGCTCCGCAGATCCGCTGTGCGTGTGAAACCAAATGTATCCATAAGATACACAGAGCATAAGTGCGCACACACTTGCCTTGGCAAGTATAACAATTACCGTTTGTTGTTGCCGTTGTTAACTTTCATTTGGGGCCAAAGCTATTTGATTTTCAAAGTACGTCCCGTCCGCATTTCAAATGCTAAAAAACGACACCAAAAACAAAAAAAAAAAACTAAAAACTAAAAAGCACAGGTGAAATTTGTTGTGAGCTGTTTTTGTGTTTAATTCATAGATACATATATCGGTAAATACATGTACGAGTATGAACATCGTTTATTTGTCAACACGTCCATTTCCTGCATTTTGTGTTTTAGCCGAAAATGAAAAATGTGCCCGAAACAATTCGAAAATAAATAAATAAATACGAATAGAGAAACGACAATGCACAGATACAGATACAGATACAGATATGGATATATATATACTTATGCTTGTATATATGTATTTATTTACATGTATTTCATGCTTTTTGTCGGCTTTTAGAGGCCTCATTAGTTGATGACTCTTACGAGTTTCAGATTTGGAAATTACACTTATCCATTGGCGTCTTTATTTCATTCTTTCTGTTTTTTCTGGTGTGACTTCATAGGAAATTGAACTTCAGAGTTCTGTAGGAATTTGATATTCCGTTCACGCAAGGGGGAATTCTCGCTCTGTACGCAAATTTACATTATTTCACCCTTAAGAAAAAAGTCGAATTACCTTTTAGGAGTCAGAAGCCCAGAGCTCATTTATCATTTTCAACGAAATTTGTCGGAAAAAAGAATTTAAAATTTTAATGAAACTAAAGATTAGAGAAATATATGAATTTGAAAAATATATTTTTATATAATATATTTTTATTACTATAATATTTTTATTTATTTTTTTAAATATCGAAAATTTTAGATAAGAGATATTTCTCTATCTCTCTTCAAGTAGTAGCAAGGCGATAAGAAAACGTTGATTATAGGGCACAGTTAGTTGGTGATAACAGCTGAGGGCTTTTAGAGTTTAGCTATAGAGTCTGTTCACTATTTGAGTGCTTTATCATAATTTGCAATATATTATTTAAAAAAAAACATATAATAAAAAATATATTATTATAATTTATATTATAAATATTTTGTTGTCATTGCTGATGATGTTTTGTTTGTATTATTGCATATGCATCAAAATTATTTAAATAATTTGCCTTGACATTAATACTATTTTAAATAATATTTACGACTTTTTTAATGTATAATTTTTTATTTATAATTAACTTTATATAATTTTACATTTCTATATATACAAATAAATAAAATATTTATTTAGCAAAATTTAATATTCTACAATATTTGTTTGTTTTACCAATATTAATTGACTATCCATTTAAAAGACACGCCTATGAAACAAAAATAAAGAACGCATCAGCTCTAAAGTTGAGATTAAAAGACCATTAAAGTGCCCGCCTTAAAAACAATCCTTTGCTAGTTTATACCTGTTAACAAATGGGGAAATGTTGTTTGATATGGAGCTGTTGGCTCGCATGATAAAAAATGCGAATTTAATTACATATAATTGAATAGAGATTTACAATTTCAACGCGCAGAGGGTCCGGAGGGTCAATTAATTAAACACCATTTAGGCAATCATTAATAAATAAAATGCAATTTGTCAATCCGTGAGCGGGACAGACAGGCAATCAAAGCGTTGTGTGGCGATGTGGCAAACGTGTGAGAAAGCGATTTGGTTGAGGCCAAGAGCTCGAATGGCATCGAAGTCGCTGTCGATGAGCCGATGTGCCTGTGCCCTGGGCCAGAGCCAAATTGATTGACCAGATCAACGTGAACGTCGTCGTCTGAATGAACCCGAAAGCCACATCGATAATTGATGATATTTAGCCAAGGCATGCCTATGTCTATCCGCATCCAGCCACATGCAAATGGCCAGCGGATCATTTCCAGATCGAAATCGTTTCACACACTCACCCAAAACAACAACAGCAACAGAAACAACAAAATTGGCTTGCGGCCCCAAAACAGCATCGGAAAAAGCAAGAAAAAAGCTTCATCTCAGCATTTCATTAATAATTTCCGAATGGCTCTAGCCCCAGCGTCTAGCCATCTAACAAGCTTTTCAATAAGTCTCCCAATTAGTAGTAAGAAAGACAGTTAGAAGCAATCGACGATTTCATTCACAAAAACAAAACATAAAACCAAAAAATTGTAGTCTAGATAGTATGACTGACTGTACGATACTCGTTCAGATGTAGCTGCGTATATTGATTAACTGATATGCTTACTGATATATACTGATTAACTGATATATTCCAATAAGGCAGTAAAAGCTCGTCTAGATCTCAAAAGGCACATAGGTATAATTTCTAGTCTATTCGTGTTTGTTTCTAGTTCGTTAACGGCAAGTTGTCTGGACCTCTAAAGTCATGTCTAGATTATTTCTAGTGAATCAATGAAGGCGTCAACTGCATCTTACTTGTTGGCTTTTGCCGATCTTCCAGATCATCAAAGAGTTTATTTATATCACATAAGCGATTCAACTGCGGAAGATAAAGTTTTTACATTTGCCACGTTCCATGCTATTATAGAGCATCTGATTTGCCACGATCACAGTTGTCATAGTTCTACGATCTTTATGCTGTCTAAATGAATAGAAAATAAAGGATATATGCTGAATAAATGCTGATAGTATACGCTATAGAAGTTTTCGAGCCACACCGCCTAAAATTTAATAAAAGATCAATCTAAAGCGCAGATTAGCCTGAAGCCAAAGCTTAGAGTTCTGGCTGCAAGACTGTCAACATGCAACGATCAAATGAACATATCTATATATATATTTTTATATATATTTCAATTTCAAAGTCTCCAGCTTTATGACTAATTAAGTATATAAAGAAAAATATTATTATAATTATTATTCAACGTCTGGCAACAACTTATGAGACTAGGGCACAGTCTCTCTAGCTACAATAGGAATTGATGGAGGCACACACAAACAGACAACAAAGACACAAAGCTAATATACTCTTTTTGTCAAAACAAACGAGCATATAAAAAGAATTTGCAGTTGAGCTAGATTGTCCAGTTAGGAATCTATGGCATCATTAGCTTTCGGGCTTTGGCAACAGCTCCATTCACAACAACTTCCTCTCTCTCTCTGTCTCTCTTTCTCCCTCCCTCTCTTTATTTGGCGCTCTCTCGCCCTCTCGCTGTCTGTCTAGTTTGTTAAAATATAAATCTAGTTTTTGTTGTTTTTTGGAAATGGAAATATTTTTAATGAAGTCGAGCAAACGCTGTCGAAAATAGAATATCAATTTGGGCAAAAAGCATAACGGATGCGCCTGTCAATATTTTGACAGTTTCGCTGCTCTCATCAAGAGCCCACAAAAATGTGGCCCGAGACTGAAGAATCTGGAGA